ACTGAATGACAGATTTAATAATCTGAGTTCTTAAGTCACTTTCATTTTATAATACACTACTGTTCTGACAGTCAGAACTCAATGACAGATGCTCTCTTATAATAAGAGCAAGATATGTCATCTGATATAACAGATACTCACTGAATGAACTGAGAGCACCAGCTCTTGAATCTGAAGATACTAGTTAATCAAGATGAAACAGCTCACAGCACTATACATGCTTCTTCAATTAGAACTATCACTGATATCTTAACTTCTTCTGAATCTTCATTAGATGAGCTATGATATACAGCAGCTCAAACTGATGAACTTCTCTAAACACTCATTGAAGCAGTACAACAAGAAGCATTCTGATTTCTCTCAGAATTATGTGTAAGAACTGACATCTCAGAATGTTCAATTGATGATAATAATACTTTATAATTTCATAAATAACACTGAGTCTCTCACTCTGAATCCTTACACATCTGAATAATGCAAGAGATACATAATTCATATATAACTAATTATTCAGGCTGTGAATAACTGTATAGAATAATCTTCTGAGAGTTTTATTAATCTGAGATATTAAATAGTATCAGATACTTTGTCTGAAACTGTAATCACTGTTCTTCTATTATCTTATAAAAGAACTGTAGAAAAGATCTACTGAAATTACTCAATATTTCTGATAGAATCTGATAAGATATAGTGATTGACTTTACTGTTAGTCTATCTGAGAGTAAGAGTTATAGAAACATTCTGATCATTGTTGACTGACTAAGTAAAGATATAATATTGAAATCTTGTAATAAGATGAATACTGAATAAGTCACTGAAGTCTTCTTACAGAGTTCATTCTATCAGATATATGAATTACTGAGATCAATAGTATCAGATCAGAGCTGTTAATTTATAAGTACTCTCTGAATAAGAATCTGTTAAGTTCTTAAGATTATATATCATCTGTTAACTGTCTATCACTCTGAGACTGATGATGTATCAGAATGAATAATTCAGACTGTAAAGAACTATCTCTGTAAGTTCTGCAATTACTTACAAGATGATTGACATGATCTGCTTCTACATACAGAGATCACTATCAATGAATGAGATGCTGTTTTAACAGATATACGCTCATTCTTCCTTATACATGATTATCACATAAAGGTGTTAAATCTTCTAGAGATTACATAGTTCATATCAGACTCTCACAGTTCAATTCAGATCACTGATAATATAGTAATGAAGCTCTGAGATGCCTGTGATTGAGCAGAGATCTTCATGACAATTGTGAAACAAGATCAAGAGAATCAAATCAATGTTTATCAAGATCTCACTGAACAATATAAGATAGAAGATCTGGTATAATTGAATCTTAAGAATATATGAATCACATGTTCATCTTGTATGCTAGATTACTGTCATATCAGATATAAAGTGATAGAAGTTCTAGATAGTCATAACTACTATTTTAACACATTATCAGAAATTCATAATGTATTTCACACAAGCTTGCTTTATCACACTGTTATCAATTCATTTTCTTCTCAACTGACTTCTGACTGACAGTCATCAGACATTATAGAAGAAGATAACAAGCTTGAGTGAGAGATTGAGAATGTTCTTGATAAGAGACTCTGTAACTGCAGCTGATAATATCTTGTGAAATAAGTCAGCTATGATTAACTGATCTGAACTCTGAGTTCTGTGTTATCTGAAACAGCAGTTCTTAACTGATGAGAACTGCTTCTGAAAGAAGAAGACTAATGTGACAGACTGCACCTGATCAATTATATAGACTATTTCACTTCACTTCATAGATTCTTTCACTTCACTCTCAAATACATACACTTCAATTCTCAGTCATTCTCAATCACTGATTCTCAGTTATTATGAATGCATATAGATTCTTTCACTCTGAAGCTTCACTGTATATATTACTATATACATGTATAAATATTCACTCTGATTGCTGATTTCTACACTTTCTCTTTCTTTTCTTCTCTAACATTTTTCTCTTTGTTATATAAGACCTATATATTATACCGATCTATTCAGCGTAGGCTTCTTACATAGTCTCAGATTAATTTAATATATAAGTCTCATTTCTTCTGTATTCAATCTTGAGAAGTGTAGATATTAACTTAATAAAAGAGATCTAGTAGAGCTGCTATAGTATAGTACTCTGTAAAAGATTATTCAGTTTTACTGTAGTAATATATCAGTTTATTTCTTACAGTAATAATAGTCTGTGCTATAGTATTATCTCAGACTGAATTTCTTTTTAAGTGATTTAACTACTTCTTAAGATGAGTAAATAAACTGTTATATACTTATCAGACTGACTGCAGTATTAATATATAAGTAATTAAGACTGTCTTCATTATCTTATAAAACTGAAATAGTAAATCAATTATATATTTTAACTGAGTTCACTTCATATCAGAAAGTTTCAATGTCTGAATCTTTTTTCAATCAGAGTGTTATACTCAATAATTAATTATCTGATATAATCAAAGAGTCTGAACAGTTATCTTATATATTAAACTTCACTATATTTTAACATTCTGTATTATATTCAGTGATATGACTGATTTATTTATTTATTAAATATTATAGAATTATTATTATTATTTAGAGAAGATATAAATTATATTAACAATGTTTTAAATCTGTAATATTTAAATTATTAGTCAATCTATTCAAAATTAACAGTAGCATTATTAAAAAGCATTATTAAAAAGCAATATTAAAAAGTATTATTAAAAAATATTATCTTTTATAAAATGAATATAAAAGTTACTTGAGTAATCACTTTCATCTCATTCTCATTTCAAGAATCAGTTATCTCATTATTCTTCATCTCAATATTAAGATTCTTTATCAGTGTTTATATTATAAGTTGAATCATATAAGTAATACAGAAAATATAATCTTATTTATTATTTCAGAAATATAAAGTCAATTTTTGCTTTAAGCTCTTTATTATAGTATAGTTATTCACAGTATTATCAGTTATAATTGTAAGAAGACTGAGACTAATATCTTAATAGTTATTTTTAATCACAGTTATTAATATCTCTATTATATAATTCTCAGTATGACTACTAATCAATGATTTAAATTCAATTAATATATATCTCTTAATAAGTTCAGTTCTTATCAATATAATAACATATAACTCTTATAAATGTAAGAGACACTCTTCAATGATTCTTCAACTCTGATTCTAGATATTATATATTAACTTTGTAGTATATCTTGAGATTGAACTGAAGACAGAATCAATGTGAAATATGATTTAAATTAAGTATTTAAAGAAGTATTTAAAATTCAGGCTTTTCAATTAATTAAAGAGAAAGATTCAGAGATATATATATATAAAGTAATTATTCATGAAAGTTATCAGATAAGAGTTATGAAATCAGAGTACTGATACATAATTATTTTCATATAATTTTCTTCAAATTAGAAAGTTAGTATTATTAAAAATCATTATTTAATAGAGTAACTTATCAGCTTAGTAGTAATTTTCTGATTATTTTTCTTTTATTGTCTGCATTCTGATGACTTCAGATATCAGAAAATTTCTTTAGAGTTATAATCAGTTCATAATAAATGTTTCTGAATAAAGTTATAGTAATTATAGCAGAGAGATAACTCTTCAGTAATCTATAATACAATCTATTAATAATTATTTCATAGTTTATCTCAGTGTTTATATTGAGTTTTTCATAAATTTCATGACCTGGAATCAGATGTGAAGAATGAAGTGATTATTTATTATAATTGAAAGAGAGTATTCTGTGTTGAATTGTAAATAATATAGACTTTATAATTCACAGTGATTTCTTGAAAAGTTTATGAATCTTCAATAGAAGTAAAAGAAGTGAAAGAAGTGAATTTAGAAGATATAATAATAATTTAAGAAAGATAATAATTTATTTTCAATAACTGATCACTGATGTGTGTAAGAAGAATTAATATAAGAGAAAATAATCTTCTTTCTTAGCTTAGTTATAATTTTAATACTAACTCAGATTGAATATCATTGATGTATAAAAGTAAATAAATAATCTTGATTAATCTCTGTCATATTTCTTGAAATATATTAATATTATAAAAGAGAGTATTATCAAATTATATTATCAGATAATATCATTAAAAATATATTAATATTGTAAATATTAATGTTGAAAAAATATTAATACTTATATATTATAGTGATTTATAAATCATGATAGTTAAATATATATATATATATTATTTCTAATATTGATAATTGATTACAACTTGTACAATAATTTTTAAAAACTCAAAATTAATTTCAATTATTAACTAACAGTTACAAACTTATAACTAATTAATATAAAAGAAAAAAACTTTTTCTACTTATTATCTTTCTTCTCTTTCTTATTCTTCTCATCATTCTTTATAATTCACTTCTTGTGACGGGCTGCGCCTGATTATCATATAGACTATTTCTTTACACTTCATAGATTTCACTGAACGCTCTGATTCTCAGTCATTCTTGATTGCTGATTCTCAGCTGAAAAACTCATGAAATTTCTATTCTTCCGCCCTGAAGCTTCACCGTGTATGCACTGTGTACATGTATAAATATTCACATCAATCACTGATTCTTACACTTTCTCTTTCTTTTTCTTCTTTAACATTTTTCACTTTGTTATATAAGACCTATAAATATTATACTGATCTATTCAGTATAGGTCTCTTATACTTGAAAAATGTTTATCATCTCCTTATTAGAAATGATTATTTATTAAGAAGATATTCAAACATGTAACAATGTGTAAGAAATAGAGAAATAATTAAACAGTTAAGTGAACACTGAGTTCTCTGATAGAAGCTTGCTCATCAGTCACTCTGGTCTCACAACAAGATCTTATGAAGAGAATAAGATCTTACAAAGAGAATATCAGTGAAAGACCTGAGAGTTCTGACACAGATGTATGAGATATTCATATAATTACACACATCTGATGAATGATACAGCTATGTCTACTGATAATATGAGAGAACTCTCAAATGTGAGTATAGATACAGTGTCACAGTGACTCTGAGCAATGTTGAAATTACAACAGTAACAGATAGTCAATATGCATGCAACTCAACAACATTAATATGAGGAAATTCAATAATTATCTTGACTAGAAACCTCTGCACAGACAATTTCAACACTGACAGAATTGAATATGAATATAATATAAATACTGAAGAAATGCTTAGATGTCTCTGCATATTTCAATACTTCTGATCTCACTCTCTACTCATCATGAAGATTGAAAATGCTCACGAAACTAAGTATAGATGAAGATGTCATCAGTTTACTAACTAATTAAGATTAATATATCAATAAATGATTGAGATATTATGTGAAACAGAAGTTTCATTCATGAATGAAAGCATGTAAATCAGTGTTACAAATATCTGATAATATCATCAAATATCTTGATATTCTGTTCTGACACACTGCTATGCAACAGAAAGTATTAGATTAATTACAGAGTATCTGACAGAGAAACACTTCTCTCATAACATTCATTCCTGACTTTGACACCAAGATTCTAGAAGTAGATGATCAATCTTGAGAGAACTGAATGAAGATTAGTATACTCAGAAAGATATTAACTTTTAAACTCTTACAGACTCTTATAAGTGTAGATAAAGACCAGACTTATGAAGATTTCTGCATACAACTTCAGACATTGAATGATCATCTTACCAAGCTTAAGAGTATACAGAACAGTGACAGAAGATGTTACACTTCAGTTACTTATACACTCATACTGAAGAATGACAATGCAGATGTTATGAATTGAGTGAACTCAAATATCTATACATAAGCAAGAGTCTCTGCTGTCTGAACAGGCTTCTGAGTTTCTGAGATCACTTCTGAAGAAGTCACTGAGCAATATCAATGAGAAGTGTATATCAACTGTAACTGATCAGAACATATTACTTTCAACTGTTAATCAGTCTACATGTCTTCTCACTCAAAGAATGAATCAATGCCTGTCTGCATCAATCACATTGCATTGAAGAAAGATTCAGAAGATAACTATAAGAATACTCTGATAAAACAGAGAAAAGATTAGCTTCTATTCAAATTCATAAACAGAAGCTTGAAGAGGTCAGATGATAATAATTTAAAGAGAAAATAACAATGAATATGATTCTTATGTCTACTGTGATCAATAATATGTATAATATGAAAGTCATGATAGACAGTGATCTATGTTATTATATAATGATTAAATCTTCAGTTGTAAGATATTATAACCTTCAGTATATTTTCTTATTAAAACTCTGACTTCTTGCAGAATTTGATAGCTCAAAAGACATTTGTATCTGTTACATGATGAAGTTGAACATAGATGTTGAAGAACATCAATATGAAGATGCCTATGCATATGAAGTTGATAATCTTGATTATAATCTTATATTAGAACTTGTCTGATTATCTGAACAAGACATCTTATTGAATACTCAAAACAGAAGCTTAATATTCTCTAACAATAATAGAGTTCATGAAGATGATATTCACAAGACTATAGATCTGACACAGATCTCTGTCAATATCTATAAAATACTCTGAAAAGAAAGTCACTGAAAAGATTACTAATAGCAGAATTATGTAACAATCTATTCTATCAGTCTGACTGATATTAAGAAAGCTCTAGAGAAGTTATTCTGTACTACAATAACAGATTCTCATATAAAACTCTTTTAATAATATCACAAATATCTAGATATCTTCTGACAAGACAATATTATGAATATACCTCTCTTAGACTGACCGCCGGGATCATGAATTTCATGTTTGATCTCATTTGATCTGGTCTTATACATTTCTTGGTGTGAATCCCGCTGGGACTAGTCATTAAAAAAACATGCAAAGTGACTATATATCAAATCTCAAAATAAAATCATGACTTGAAAAAAATGAGAAAGTGGTCTCATTTAGTCTCATTTAGTCTCATTCTTAGCATAAAGTTACTATTTTTAGACATTTTAAGGTTTTTTTTAGACTATTTTTAATTTTTTAAAAAGTAACACTTTTTGATAACACTTAAATAAGATTTAAAGTTATTTAAAGCAATGAAAATAATTTAAATTGAGAAGTGAAAATCATGATCTCATTTGAAAAATGTAACAAGAGTAGACAGTAAGTCTCACTGAGACAGTATAAGACTACTATCTAATGTTAGAACCATGTAATGAGATCAGTTGAATTGATAATGAGACTATCAAAAATTCTGGTCCTGGTTTCAGACACAGTCACACGGTCAGTCTAACGCCCCGGTGGCCGAATGGTTAATGCGGCCACCCGGTAGCGCCTTGGCGTGGGAAACCAAGGCGCGTGGGTTCGAAACCCGCAGGGGATACATTAAATCCGGAACTCAAGCACCTCAGGTTCCTAATAAATACAGAGGTGTACAAATCGCTCCAATGAATCGCTCTATGTTCCTGGGCTGGGAAGTTATTATCGCATGTATCTAATTGTCACTCCTTTGTATTTTCCTATGTTCTTGTTATCTTGGCGTGGTCTCAACACCTGTATTTCCTCCTGTATAACCAACACTTGACCTGTATTTAACATCACGCAAGGACTCATCATAAGCTCCGCTTGCATATGAGTATAATGGAAGAATAATAATAATAATAATAACGGTCAGTCTAACCTCTCTTATAAGACTCAGAAGTAGATCACAGTATTAAGTTAGAAAAGAAGAATGATAAGAACTCTGAGTTATTATAAGACCTTCTTTATAATATGTCTTAAGATAAACTTCTTCTTCTTTGAAAGACACTCAATGATCTGTTGAATAAGAAATTCATACATATTAGTAACTCTTCTACTGCAGCTTTCATTCTCTTTGCAAAGAAATCAGATAAAGAACTTTAATTCTGTGTGAACTATCAAGAATTGAACAGATTAATTAAGAAGAACTGCTATTCTTTATCTCTTATCAATGAAATCCTAGCTCACATCAGACAAGCTCAATAATTTACAAAACTAGATATTATTATCATGTTTTATAAAATTCATATTACTGAAGAAGATGAATAGCTTACAGTATTCTGAATATATTATGATTTCTTTAAATGAATAGTTACATTCTTTGAACTGATCAATGTTCTCAGTACATTTCAGAAGTATATTAACTGAGCACTCTGAGATTTTCTTGATGAATTTGTATCTGTATATCTTAATGACATTCTCATCTTCACTGATGAGTTCAGAAAAGAATATCAAGAACACATGCAAAGAATATTACAATAATTATAAGAAGCAGAACTATCAATAGATATTGATAAGTATAACTTCAAAGTCAAGAGTATCAAATATCTAGGTTTTATTATAGAAGCTGATAAGAGAATTTAAATGAATTCTGAGAAAGTCTTCATCATTCTTGAATGAGAAGGTCTATATACTGTGAAAGATATATGAAGCTTAATCAGATTTACTATCTTCTATCAGTGATTTATATGAAACTTCTCAGATATTGTGAGATCACTTACAGAACTTATCAGAAAGAACTCAGTATTTCAGTGATTAGCAGATACTGAAGCTGTATTTATATAGATAAAGAAGATGTTTATTAACATCTCTCTGATAATGATATTTGATTTTAATTATAAAATAGTTATTGAAGCTGACTTCTCTGACTATATTATAGAGAGAGCTATATTGCAATATGATAATAAAAATATCTTATGATTATACATCTTCATGTTTAAGAAACTGAGTTCTGCTGAATGTAACTATGAGATCTATAATAAGAAACTTCTTACAATTGTATACTGTCTAGAAGAATGAGACTCTGAACTCTGAAGTGTCTCTGAATTTGAGATAATCACAGATTATAAGAATCTCAAGTACTTCACAACTATCTGTAAACTTACTAAATGATAGATACAATGATCTGAGTTCTTAAACTACTTTCATTTTATAATACACTATCATTTCAGCAGTCAGAACTTAATGACAGATGCTCTCTCATAATAAGAGCAAGATATATCTTTCAATGTAACAGACACTTGTTAAATAAACTAAGAACACTGACTTCTAGATCTGAAGATATTAGTTGATCAAGATGAAACAACTCATGACACTATATATACTTCTCTGATTAGAACACTCTCTCTTCAAACTGTCACTGACACTGACACTGATACTGACACTGATATTAACACTGATATCTCAACTTCTCCTGAATCTACACTGAATAAAGTATGATATATAACAGCTCAAACTGATGAACTTCTTCAAGCACTCACTAAAGCAGTACATCAAGAAGTACTCTGATTCTTCTCAGAACTATATATAAGAACTAATATCTCAGAATACTTAATTAATGATAATAAAACTCTGTGATTTCATAAACAATATTAAGTCTCTCACTCTGAACTCTTACACATCTGAATAATGTAAGAGATGCATGATTTATATATAACTGATCACTCAGATTATGAATAATTATACTGAATAATCTCTTAAGAGTTCTACTAGCCTGAGATATTAAACAGCATCAGATATTTTATTTGAAACTGCAACTATTATTCTATCATCATCTAGTGAAAGAACTGTAGAAAAGATCTACTGAAATCACTTAATATCTCTGATAGAATCTGATAAGATGTAGTAATTGACTTCACTATTAATCTCTCTGAGAGTAAGAGTTATAAGAATATTCTGATCATTATGAATTGATTAAGTAAAGATGTAATATTGAAACCTTGTAATAAGATAAATACTGAATAAGTCACTGAAGCTTTTCTACAGAGTCTGTTTTATTAAATGTATAAATTACTGAGATCTATAGTATCAGATTAGAACTGTCAATTCATGAGTATTCTTTGAACAAGAATCTATCAAGTTTTCAAGATTATACACTGTTTATCAACTGTCTATCACTCTGAGACTGATAATATGTCAGAATGAATAATTCAGACTGTAAAGAATTATCTTTATAAGTTCTGCAATTACTTATAAGATGATTAGTATGATCTTCTTCTACATGCAGAGATTGCTATCAACAGCTGAGATGCTGTCTCAACAGATGTAAGTCTGTTCTTCTTTACACATGATTATCACATGAAAGTATTGAATCTTCTAGAAATCACACATTTCACACTGAATCTCTACAGTTCAATTCAGATCATTAATAGTATAGTAATAAAGCTCTGAGATATCTATGACTGAGCAGAGATCTTCATGACAATTGTAAAACAAGATCAAGAGAATTAAATCAATATTCACTGAGATCTTACTAAGCAATATAAGATAGAAGACTTGATGTGATTGAATCTCAAGAATATACAGATCACATATTCATCTTATACACTGAATTATTATCATATCAAGTATAAAGTGATAGAAGTTCTAGATAGTCATAACTACTGTCTTAACATATTATCAGAGATTTATGATATCTTTTACATGAGCTTGCTTCACTGTGTCATCACTGATCTGTTCTCTTCTCAACTGATTTCTGACTAACAGCTGCCAGAGATCATAGAAGAAGATAATGAACTTAAATGAGAGATTGAAGATATTCTTAATAAGAGACTCTGCAGCTGTAGCTGATAATATCTTGTAAAATGAGTCAGCTATAATCACTCAATCTAAACTCTGAGTTCTGTATTATCTGAGACTGCGGCTCTTGACTGATAAGAACTGTGCATGATCAGAGAAGAGAGAGACTAATATAACAGACTGCATCTAATCATTATATAGACTATTTCTTTACACTTCATAGATTCCGCTGAAGGCTCTGATTCTCAGTCATTCTTGATCACTGATTCTCAGCTGAAA